TCATGACCTAATTGCCTTCCAAAGGCCCCATAAAGGCCTCATACCATCACATGGGGGTTAGGATTTCAATATCTGAACTTTGAGGGAGACACAAACATTCAAACACAGCACCCCCTTGGTGCCTCAGGGCTTTGGTTTTCTCACCTGTGCAATGGAGACAGTAGTACTCCTAAGATCAAAGGATCACTCTATTTTTAATAATGATTACTATTATTACCATTTTTATTACTGTTCCCCACCTTACCCAGTTTGCTCCAGCAGGAAAGCTGACATAATGATATATTGAGACAGCCAAATTATTTGGGAGCAAAACAGGATAAAAATATACATATACATACCCCTCTCCCTAATTTAAAAACCCTTTTTGGGTTTTTAAATTAGGGAGTAATAAACTTTACACTATGAAACCCCCAAAATCAAAGGGTCCCAGAGCACAGCTAGCAGCTGCCTTTGAGCACCTCCCTTGACAAGCATGACCTGCAGCTTGTGGCCAGGCACGAGTCTCAGGAAAGTGTGGGTCCAGAGCTTGGCGCAAACAAGAGGAGGCCAGCCCAGTGTGGAAGGTATTTTTCATTACTTACCCTAAATTTATATTTCTTTGTAACTAATCATCTCTTTTAGGTTGCAAAAGCCTTTGAAGACTCCATCAGTCTCTCGGCTACTGGATATTTCAAGTAAAGGGCATTTTTACTTTGGCTTAAATTACACTTGGGCAGGGGCGATGTGTGCTCATCAGTCATCAGCCTGGACAGGTGTCCGGAGAGTGCCGGAGCTCTGCTGGGCCTGGGGTTAACCCCTTAGTCATGGGGTCGTGGGGGTGGGGAAGGACATGGGGGAGGGCCGGGCGCTGGGGGACAATCCAGAGCCTTCATGGAGTAGCAGCTGTCGGCCAGCCAGGAGGGACACCACAGCTATCCACACACACCAGACCCTTCCCAGCAACTGTGCACTGGAGGCTAGGGGTCCAACACCAGTTGATCTTCTCCCCGTGTCTGCTGTGGAAACTTGCAGCCTGACCACATGGTCCTCTCCAGGGAGAAGAGGGAGGGAGGCCTCCAGCCACTGGGTGGAGATGCTGCCTGCAGCCCCTGCAGCCCTGCGGGAGGACTTCCGCCCTGTGCATCTCCAGAACCCAGCACAGAGGGGTGATCAGACCCCTAGCGGGGAGGGTGCCTTTTCTTTTCACTCTTCATTTCTCTTCTCAGAGGCTACCAGACACATATGGACTGGGAGAAGGAGGAAGGCAATGTGTATCCATATTTTGTTTATGGCGCGTCCTGTTCTGAGGTTGAGGTTGACTGTCTCACCGGGGCTCATAAGGTTAGGAGTGACATTTGTATTCACAGTGTAAACACAAACGCTAAATAATAATCAACTTGATCCTCCCAGGGGAACAAACAGGGACAGATGTATAATTTTAGTAAAAATCTATTTTAAATAAATAACATTTTGCATTCTGCATTTTCTCTTGGTGCAGCTCCTTAGGACCGACATCTTCATGGATGCTGCCTTTAGCATAAACCCAGCCGTGGACATTGGACAGGTGCGTGATCCCAGAGCCACCCCCATGGGGACTTTTGGTCAATCCCATTTAGCAGCTATTCATTCAAAATTCTCCAGCATCCTCCAAACTTTGTTCATACCTAGTACAAGTATTCTGC